GACATGCATGAATGTGATTTCTGGATGTACTGTTGCTTTGAACAGAAAACCAACTTTTTCATTCACTTCTCCAGCAGCCCATCTTGTATCTACACATTTATACAAGTACCTTGTAACAGGCAACCTGCTATATCTTATCATTTTGTACACCCTAAACTATTTCAGCCAAAGTGTATAATTAAATCAAAAACATCATAAATTATAGCTAGCTTTTTCAGATTTCTCAGTAAAGTGAAAGATGGAAGAAATGTCATTTGTCTTCAGAGAACTTATCATTACTTGAATAATAAAATTCAGAAGAAGGAAAATGGCTATTATATATGAATAATTGCATTGAATATTTCCCAATTTGCGTATTTGATGCTATATCAAAATATATTGCAATGTAAGCCACAGGATTTAATATAAAAAGAATATTTTTAATTAGAAAAAAGCTTTTATTCCACTTTCTATAATGCCTATCAAAAATATATTTTTTAAAAATCTGCACTTTATTCAATTAGAAAAGCTCAATTAATCAACAGGAGCCAAATGAGTTCTGTTCAAACTAATGAAACATAACACCGTTTACTCCCTTCATCCATTCATTTCTTTAGAGGTCAATTTTGTGACTGTGCTGCTTTAGGGCTATTTCAGTATTGGTCTTTTTCTTTTTCTTTTCTTTTTTTTCTTTTTTTTTTTTTTTAAGTGTGCTCCAGTCCCAGAATTTAGAATGAAGTTCCAGAAGGATTAGTCCATCTTGCAATTAGTGTGTGTATAGCCACCAGAGTGCCTGGTAATAACAGCTTCCGACAAGAATGGATGATTATTGAAATAGAATTCTATCTCCTGTAGAAATAGTGAGGAATCAATAAATTATTATTCTATAAATTATTAAATCTATAGGCATAAGATGACCATAAGTTGAGTTCCTTCTCATTAATTAATTAAATGAGGACATACACCCATTGTTGCCGTCTGTCAATTTAATAATTTATTGAATAATGGATGCTGCTAATACAAGGTTGAACATGATGATATCCATCTTCAGTGCTACTCCAACATTAATGAGCTTGACACTACATAAGTCTACTCCACCCTTTTGGCAAATGTCTTCATTCAGTATGGTTCAACAGAAGGGATCATTCAGACCTTTAAATCTAGCAGGTATTTCCTTTCTGACAAAGTTGTTTTACCAAAAATTTGGGTTCACAACAGGCACTTTTTTTTGAGCAATGGGGTGGGGTGAGGATGCTAAATTGTACCATGAAAATAAGTGAAAGAAAAGGAAAGAAACAAGGCTGATGTGTTTAAAAAGGCCAGCTAAGTAATCCATTGTAAAACCGTAGACCTTCTGGGGAGCATCACGTAGCTCTTGCAAGAACCACTTAGCAGTTACTGTGGTCTTGAGTTTGACAGTAAATCTCCAGATTTGCCATTAACTCTTCATATGAAAAAGTTGGTTTAAGCTCTCTTAATGCTGTCTTCTCTGGTTCTAAAAAAAAAAAAGAAGACAAGAATTCCTTTCAAACTATTCTATCTCAGTTTTTGAACAAGTGTGTATTAAATGTTATACATTGTTCCTAGTAAGGATATGGCTTGTCTTAATTTCTTAACCAACTTTCTAATTAATCAAAATTTTACTTAAATGCATGACCCCCTGCCTCTAATGTAAGTCATACATGCTGTTTTCTGTCTTCCGAAAACATCTTCTGGTGAAGTTGACTTCAAGATAGCTCTGTGCTGATGTGCTGATGTACATCATTAAAAGCTAAAACAAATCAAATGAACACTTGTGTATCCCTGTGACCTCCTGGTTTGTGTTTTACAGGCTTTCAACTGGCTCTTGCAGGCTGTATTGATTATATATTATCACGTATACCAGATGATCTCTGAGAATTGCATTAACTAGATAAATGGCCTAAATACATTTAATTGAATTTTCATGCATCTCTTCAATAAAGTAGAGGGATGTCAGAAAACAAGTTATGTTTGAATTTGTTTCTTTTATCTACAGTGATTAATCAAAACTTTGTTTTTATTTCTAGGTAATCACATTTGAAATAGAAAAGTATGTTTGGGAAAATCTACTAGTGGAAAACTGAGTTATAAGTGGCTACGATCTAAATTAATAAAATAGAAAACAAACGTGAATTATCATAAAGTGAAAGTAGTTTATATATAACAGGCCATATTTTTATACATTTGAATTTCCTTTAGTAAATGGAGGCTTGTAATGGCTGCAAAAGTAAAGTCATTTCATCATACATTGGGTGTTATTAAGACTTCATATACTGTTACTTGTGCAAGGTACTTGAGGTAGCAAAAATGTTACTTTTCTTGAGCAATATGATCTCTCTCTCCAGGTCAGTGAACTCAACAAAATATTAATGTTAACATATTTCACCAAACAAAGCAAAACTAAATATTTAATTTCCAAAAAAAAAAAAAAAAAAAAAAAGCTCTGTAATTTTTGCATATGTTTTATTATTTTGATTACTGAAGTTAATTTGCAGAATTCAGATGCTTAACTCACACAGGAAATTCATTGAAATTGTTAGAAAGTTTGTACTTAGCAAGATCAGTGTCCAGTGGCACATACTGAGTCTTGGATGCTGTCTGTAGATATGGTTAATGGCTTACATATAATTTGAATATACTCATGACAGTGGCAACTTCATTTAACACTGGCCCTGTAAACTTTCTTCAAGGACAACTAATGAGCATATTCAGTAGTTTTCCTTATAATGTAATGGAATTTTGTACCCTAATTTGAACTGCATTACTGCTCTTGGAACACTTGAAAAGACTTTTAGGATTTCCAGTCGGAGACAGAACAAGGGCATGATAAACAGAAATATGCAAGGACCCTCCTCTCCCCAGCCCTGCCTCAAATAAATCCTGTCTCCCCTCAGACTCCAATCTCCAAAATGGATGTATTAAAATGATCTATGATATTAATATATTATAAATTATCTATAAGATTTAAATGATCTGTAGTATTACGTGTCACCAAAAGAAGTGAATGAGACTACATTTTAACAACAGGCTGTCATACAAACACGTATTTTTCTAGATGTGGCAACAGATGGCTCCACTTCACAAAATAACGCAACTTTATTTGTATTTATATTCTCTTAGTCACTTCTTTAAGCCAAATTCACTTGCAGCTTTGACCATGAAGGAAATTAAAGCACAGCCTGAGACAGCAAGATGGGGGAGCTACAGGAAAGGCATACCTGCACTCATAAGGGGTCCTCGCCATTTTTACCCTGGGCAGAGAACTGGTGTAAAACCTGTGCTACTGGTTAGCCCTCAGAAATGGATACTGGAGTCTTAATGAAGCGATACTTTGTGCTGTCATTTTAAATAAGGTTTAGTTTTATCTTCCTAGTAAATTGTACTAAGTATGCAACAGAAACTTTTTCTAAATCAAAGATGAAATATTTTTAACCAAAAAGGGGTTACCATTACTACTGCACATATATTTCAGTAATTGTAAAATATATATTACACACACTGTGTATATACATGTGTATATATATAAGGAAAAAGGGAGTGGAGGAGGATGAAACACTACTGCAAGAACAACAACCAGATGTGTTAACCATGGAAGGATGAGTAGGTAGCAACGTCATGATTTATTATAATAATGGCATAGAAATAGTCTTATCTTGTCATAAACTTCTGGGCAAGCTATTTTTCTCTTATGCTAATCATAAATCATCATTTTGCTTTTATGCTTGAAAAGAAACACCTTAGACTACCTCAGGCAGTAACTAGGGAAAGAATGGTTTTCAACCAAAGGTCAAGACTGAATCTTATAGAAATTTCCATTTTTATGCCATCTGGATGCGGATAATACAGTACAGTATTTAGATTCAGATCACTGTTAATAGCTTTGGTGATAGAAACTCCCCTAAGGGTGAGAGGCTTTAACAAGGAAATGTCAATGCCTCACTCAGAAATAATTTTCTGAGAGACCTAATAATGATTTAAGTGACCGTTGTTGGGACATCATGGTACATGTGTGTGATGTATCACCAATACTGCAACCACAAGTAAGATCTGTCCAAGAGAACTGATAGTCAGATGGAAAATACCAACTTTATGTAACTTTGTTGATTAAGATAAATCAGTTAAAACCCAGGAAATACCACAGAAAGCTCTGAAATATAGTCCTTGGCTGCTGTTAGCCCAGTTGTTATATACCTGACGCCAGGGTATATATGGGTCTGCTCCCATATCACTAACCAAGAAGATCAAGCAAGAAATATCTTTAGACAGTGCTGTCTTAAATGGTCTGAGACATAGCTACAATACAATGAATTTTGGATTGAAGTTGGTCCTGAAATTGTGGGCTGGAATGAAAAGTACTTGGTATGGCTTGTGAGATTGCTCTACTGTCTTAAGACTTCCTAATAATGTTGCTGACGATTCTTGCTGCTTGAAGGAAGAACTGTTGAAGGGGTCATGTAAAAAGTCACTTCTTTTCCTTGTAACATCAGAAAATGTGTAGGGTGCTCTGAGCCCAACAGCTAAATCTTTTTTAGAACCATGCTCCAGTTCGTTTTTATTTTTTATTTATTTATTTTATTTTTTTAAAAGACCTTGATCTTTTGAGGAGAGCATTGTGAAAATTCAGGAGAGCGTTGTGAAACCTCTGGCCAATGCAGGAGTTAGACATATTATTTGGGGTCACAAATTTATTTATCAGGAACTGAAATGGGTAGAAATCTGAGGGAGAGTGCACATTTGAGTGCTACAGGACTGTTATTTGGGAATCAGTCCTGTTGATTAATTCCTTGGCTTCCACAGATCATTTGCTTTTAATGAAGACAAGTTTTTTTGTTATTAGCTACTGGATTAGATAGATCCTAATGGATCAGCCACAGCTGGTCCATTCACAGCAGCTTCAAATACCACATTTTCTTGGAAATTATTTGTTCCTTTGCCTGGATCGAGAACAGTTTATTTATTTATTTATTTATTTATTTTTATTTTTATTTTTTTTTTATTAGGCTCAAAGTCACCTGCCTGCCCAATTTACATTACTTATTAAACTCACCTACTGCCAAGAATTTTTGAAAAAGTCATGTTTGTGAAGAGTTCTGGATCATGCAGAGAAGTGTATGGAAAGCTGGAATGGTAAAGTTGTAAAGTATCTCGTGCACTGTTCACTTTTATTGATGCTGTGGGATAGAGCAAGACTAATTTTGGAATGTGTTCGCTTTTCTGTTCTGGAAATGTGGCTATTTCAAAATTACATATGTATTTGTTTTTGAGAGATTCAGGAAAGCATCTAGGAATTTCTTTTAGAAGTGACATGGGATTCTATTTTAGATGTGATCTGTAAACTGCATGAAGAAAACTGGTTTATATTTAAAGTGATATTGTCATGCACTGGAGCAGAATATAGTTCTGTATGTATAAACTGCACTCCTCTGTCTGATACTACCTCTCTGTTATTTACCAGGATAGCTCCCAGAAGATGTGAGTCACTGTTGTACTGTTATAATAGGCTCTGTACAAATAAGTCTCATGGTACAGTTCAAGCTGCCAGCATTCACTCTGGAAAGGGGAACGTTGTAAGTTCTTCTTCATAATAATAACTAGTTAACCTAGAGATGAAGTGTCTTGGGCCTAGCTCAGCCATGCAGGTTAGATGGAGAAGCAAGGTTTCTTCCTTGAATCTGAACAGCCACATAAAATGTAATTAAATCTTGCTCTGTGGGTGGGATACGTACAAATATGTATCCAGAGAGAGACTTAAAGGAGAAGAAAGCAGTACCCTTTCCCCTTCTACATGTCAGCCCCGATTCACAGGGACAGAGATGTTTGGGGCCAAGGAAGCTGCTTTAATTGCTGCTGCCTTGGTTGGCTCTCCTGCTTCTAACAGTTTTTAAAGGGGGAATGTGACTGTTTCCTGAGTGATAGGACCTCTGAGGGGTGCTTCTGCAGTAGCACAGTTTATGCATCACCTTTTCCTCAGTGGAATGTCTAAAGGCACCATCTAGTTGTGAAACTGAAACAGTAGTAATAGAGATGAACAAAACAGAGAGAATGTGTTGCTGCTATAGCCATGGCCTAAAATGCTAATAGTCTGTAATGTACCATAATGAATATTAATAATCACTAATAAATGCACTTTTATAGTGATGGAAAAGAGTGTGTTTTTAAAGAACTGCAATATCAGCTGTCTGCTTGAATCAGTGATTTGACACTGAAAATACTTACCAGAAAAAAAGCACCTCTTGTCTGTAGCACGATAGATGTCCTGAGGGGCATGCAGAAGTCAGAAGACATTACGTTTCTGCAGTGTCTACGCAGACGCTAAGATCGTTTGAAACAGGAGTAGAGGAAAGACTGCATGCATTTTCTTTTTGCTGTGAAGTTGCTTTGTGTAACATACTAATTATTCATTTCCATTTGCCACTTTGCAAATTTGTTAAAAAATATTTACAAATAATGGTACTAAAATGTCTCTGGAACAATGTGAATATGTAAGCCAGCTGTTCTGTCTGGATTCACAACAAATATTTGCTTGATCTGGAGCAGACTTTTGATATTTATATACTTTTAATAAATATCTATTTATTAATAGAAAACCTTTCTGGTAGGCATTTCTTTCTCCTTACTTGAGTACATGTGCTTATTGTTCAAGTTTATTTTAAGTTCTGTGCCTTTTCTGCATAGAATGAGTGTCTTCTAGCCCTGCAAAAGCAAAACTTTGTGCCTGTAGAGTTGCAAAAGTCATGGCTGTGGTATAGCAATTATACCCCAACATCCTTCAAAGCAAGGTGTGGGGATGGTTGCCCCAACAACAGTCATCACGCTAGGGTGATTGTGTCTTCTCATATACAAAAGCCAGTTGGGAACTGTGTATTTTAGTCTCAATTATTGCATCATTCTGTATCATGTAGGGCTCACTGCATGAAGAAGCTTCAGACTGAGTCGATGCTGTCCTGCCTTGCAGTAAGGGGCATTCTGTCTTGCCTTGGTTTAGCAATTTATTTAGGACTTACTCCAGGTACTGGAGGAGAAACTGGCAGCCTTTGATTACTTCCTGAGAAGGTGATGGCTGTCATGGGTCATACTCAAGGAACAGTAGTGTTTCCAAAGCAGTAGGATAAAGTCAATAGATGGAAGGATCAAGAGTAGATTTTTCATTAGACCACTCAACTATTGACTTTGCCATCCTGTTTTGGAAATACTCATGTCACCTGGAACTGACCAGAATTTGAATCACCTGCACAGACATTAAGCAGAGACAGCTGCCAGTAGTTAAAATTATTTCTTGGTGGCTTTTGGCATAGAAAATTTTTAAGAATAGGAAAGGAGAGCCTTGCTAGGAAACAGTTTTCCCAAAATATTTTGGAATGTAAAGGGAAGGATTGATATCCAGCTTAGCAATTCTGTATATATCATAAAGGTGTTGGACATTGTAGAACTGGCTCTCCAGCCCAATTTTTGAATTGTCTGCATCAACTTAACAGTAAAATACTTGAGAGGGAGGAAAGGTGACTCTCAATGGTAAGTGGCTTTAATATACGTGTTGGTTGGGTTTTGTTTGTTTTTCATTTATATATGCCATTTTATATATGCCAGCTTTTATGTCTTTGCAAACATACCAAGAGCATTTACTTTTTGTGCATTGATGTCTGTCTTCTCCTATGGTAGTGATAAATGCAGAGGTGTTCAACTCTTTTGAACTTGAGGAAAATTTAGTATGAGTTTCACCCTGTCTTTTGTGTCCAGGGCTCTACTGCTGCTCTTTGAGACATTCAAAGGTTAGGAGAGTGCCTAGTCCAGTTAAGAGCAGACTGCTGAGAAATAACACATTGCAGTGATCGCTGCTAGTCAGAGTTGGTTCCTGGAGTGCAGCAGGGCTAGGGTGTGGGGCTGAACCTCAATGATCCTAGGGGGACAAGTAATAAATGATAAGGAATGAATGATGCATGAGGAAAAAGCATTACGAATGTATCGGATTTATATTAATCATAGGTTAGCTCAAGGCCTTCACCGCAAAGGGTTGGTGGAACTGCCAATTTTTGTTGATAGGATGTTGGAAGTTTTATTCAACAATACTTGTTCTGTGCATAAAATTGAGACTTAGGTTGCTGGTTGTTGTCTTTTAAACTAACTGTCCTGTTTAGTAGAAATCTGAGCTGGGCTTTATGTTCAATAGGGGTTGCTTTCTATTTTCCTGACTTCAGTGAAAATTTAGGTGTTTATAAGGTACGGGAAGTATCCTTAATGGGAAAAAGAGAGAATTTCATAGTCAGCCATCCCCTTCCCTCCATACTTTTTTTCCTTATCTTAATGAATCACCCAGTCTTAGGTGATTGCAGTTTAACTATGCTTAAGCACACTACATTTAATCGGATTAAGCTTGGTTTTGCAAGTCTTAAAATTTAGTTAATGGAAAACTTACAAACAATGTAATTTTTTTTTAGTAGGGCACTGTATTACCAACAGCTATAGTAAAGGGGAAAAAGAGTGTTTATTAGACATCAGAATGTATTTGTGGAATACAAGCTCTTTTCTTGCAAAAGAGCTTTCAGCTGAAGGAAGGACACAGATTAGACTTATGGGAGGTGGGGGAACTAGAAGACTAAAGACACAGGGCAGGGGCTTTTGTGTATGTTAATCAGTGAAGAAAAAGAAACTTTTTCAAGACTATTGGAAAAGTAACTAGATTTTCAGTTAAACTATGGGAATATAAAATACACAAAGGGAAGTGAATATCATAATATTGAATCCTGTTTTATTAATCATGGGCCTTCTACTGTTCCCTGTGGTTAAAAAATGCATAGGATCAAATCAGTAGCAAAAAAAAAAAAAAAAAAAAAAATCTTTTTTGAAGAGTTGTAGCAATTCAGAACAGGAGCACGGTAATAATTTCTTGACTTTTGTAATCGTCTTCTAAATTTCTGTAAGAGGGTGAATCAGGGAAGGGAGCTCCCTTGGGAGAGCTGGGGAGCACCTAGCTCTCAGCAGTGAGGTGCTTGGGAGCTTGCTCTGAGCTCTTGTTCGCCCATACCCTGCTATGGCAGAGAACCTGGAAGCTCCTGAGGAAGTGCTTCCCTTGGGAATCTGGGGAGCTGAAATACACTCACGCAAAATCCCTTGTGTTTTTTACTGAACTGAATTTAACACTAGGCTTTGGGCTGGGCAGGGGCGAGGTCTTTTTTTTTTTTTTTTTTTTTTTTTTTCCTCTCCGTAGGAGACTCAGAAAGTTTGTTTGGACAAATCTTTATCCTCAGCAAGATAAACTTTTGAGTTCTTTTGTAAAATATTCGGAAGCACTGAGCAAGATTCACTGTTGTGCCTCAGCTCATCTCAGTTCAGCTGGCAGGAAGGTAACGATATATAGGTAATTCTGGTAGCAGCGCTAACCTGGGAGAGAAATGCTGACCCAGCCAGACTGGTGCAGGCTGGCTTTGTGCTCAGGCTACTTTAAGCCCCAATCTGGCTGTTGGTAGCCCCTTTTCATAGGAAGTGTGTGTGACTGGAATTAGCACAACACCCTGGGTGCAAGAGGAAATATTTTTGTTCGAGAGAAGCAGAACATCAGAGAAGGAACATAAACACTTCTCTTTTGCTGTATATTTAATGAGGTAGGGAAAAGCAGCCAAGCACATCCATATTTTTTACTTTCTTGGTGCATTTACCAGATAAATATCTGAAGCAGCTTTGAATTTTGTCTGGTGTTTGAATGGTTCAGGCAGAGATTGCTCTGTTTACCACAGCTTAGATATGAAACAGCTGTTATGCTTCTGGATTTTTGTAACATTGTTAATATAATTAGGTTGCATACAATTCACTGTTCCAATCTAATTTTGCAAGGATGCTGCTTTTGACACTCTGTAAAGAACATCATCTCTCTGTATGGTTGAAGTTTAAACATCCTTTTCTACAACCTGAATGATTTTCTTGTGTTTTTCTTTGGCGAAACATTTCTCTTTAAAAATTTCATCTCACAAGAAAGAGCATCCCCAAAACATTCCTTGCTGCATGCACATTCAAAGAGTTCTCTGTTCAGAAGCAGAAGCCTAATTGTTAGTGAGTCACTTTTAATGTCTGATTCTGTTAAATGTACTGCAGATGAGATCTGGGCAAAGATAAAAGGAATTTTAATCTTGAATACAGGAGAACAGCTTTACAGTAATAGCTTGACCAGACAAGGGAGGAGACCCTTTCTTGATCTGCACGTGAAGTTATTGTTTAAAAATCTCGTTTGAAAAGAACAGATTTCACTGTTTAATGTAAACCATGTTCCAGTTGGGTTTAATTCAGGATAAATGTTTTGGCTTTTTCTCTGCAGGCATAATTTGCTATTGACACATGTACAATGGTTCCAGTGCTGTTATCCTGTTTTCCTTTGTGTCTTTTAATCACCTGCTGATCCAGTATTTCCTTCATTTTTTCATCATGTGTAAATAATGACTGACCTCATCTCACCTCTCTTTGCACACTGCGGGGCATCTGGAAGATTTACATGTGGTGCTCATCTCTCCCTCCCCTATTTCCCCTCCCCACCCCCAAAGTGCTATGGTCTGAATAGTTGTTAATGAAATTTACATATTCATGAAAATAAAGTCTTAAGCACAGGAAACCAACATGCAGAGTTGCATTAATATTACAAGTTCTACAGTTCATTTTTTATGTGTAAAACATTCTCATACCTATGTCCATATTAAAGATAAGTCTAACAGTGCCAGTGCACTTTTTTTTTTTTGTACAGATACTTGCATGTGTATTTTGCCTTCTATCTAATGATCTCAGATTACGCTGGAATGTGAGCAAGTTTCATAACCCTCTCCCTCTATTGTATGAATAAGGTAAACAGCACATTCCTTGTTTCATGGATGAAGGCAGATGAACAAGATGATTTGTTCATGAACATACAGCAATTCTGTTGCAGAGACAAAAATGCTTCCTCTATTAACCCAGTCCTTAACAATGAAACTGATGCTAACAATGGTTACCCAACAGAGGATTTTGCTGGGTTTAATGTCTTCTGTGTAAAGCTCATGCAGGGCTTTTACATTTGTTTTAGGACGTGTTAAGAGGAGTAGTCCCCTGATTTTTTCAGATTGCATCCAGTTTGCGTATGTGACTTGTGTAGACTGCAAACTCTGAGGCTCCTGAAGTCTCGTTTTCCAGGTACTTCTGGACTCTACATAAAGTCCTAAAAATGGAGCTGAGGTATCTTGGGAAGTTATTTAGTCCATCTCCTTGCACCAGGAAGAAGTGTTCCTGGGAGATTTTGTATTACCTATTCTTTGAAATTCCCCTAAAGGATATACCACAACCTCCATATCCTCACAGTCCTCATTTGCCTACAACTTGCTTGCTAAAAATATAAGCCTGTTATTGTTCATCCTAACCCAATATGCATAGAGAATAGTGTTTTCTTTCTTCTGTGCCTTTTGTTTTGTCACTTTCCTATTTGTACATGGTTACAAGTCTTCTTACCTTCAAGCCTTCTTGCAAAATAATAGCAGTTCTTGTTTCATTCCATGGCAGGTTATTTCTAGATCTCTGAGCTTTCCTTTTGCTTTCCTTTGGAGTTTCTCTCATTTCAAATTCATGCAGGTGACCACCCTCTTAATTAACATCCCCAGCAAGATCTTCCAGTTTGTAATTGCTTCATCACATAGTTTGTAATGTTGGAATCAGCCAACATATGAACTCCAAAGTATTAACCATGAAAGACGGTAAGGAATTTCAACTGCAGAACATTTTTTTTTCTAAATTGCATTGACACTTAAGCACTCCAATTATGTTTCCATCAGTGGATTTTATTATTTTTTTTTTACCTCCTTGTGCTTCTATCCATCCATCAGTCTTCTTTTCTGTATATACTGTAGAGTTCATATTTTGATTATCCCTTTGTTTCCTATTTCTTGCTGTTTTTATTACTACATTTTTTCCCCATTTTTAATGAAATCTAATATATGTGTATATACTTGTGCTGACTTTCCACATTTTTCTGATAATCTTCTTAATGCTGCTTTACCCTTGAATATGTGTGATTATGACCTAAGAGCAAGCCAGAAGCACATCACCCATGAGAACTCTACTAGCTGGACAGTAATATTTTCATGTCACTGCTGCTGGCCCTTATGATGTGCATATGCAGAAAATCTTCTAATAGCTAACTCTGAACATCTTTCTTGCACCTTTCACAGTGTCTGCTTCAATTGCCAAAAACTGTGCATGTCTAGAGCTGTTTAGTTTTCATTTTGCTGCAGCTCTAATGACGTGCCTTTGCAGAAAAATTATTTTACTTTGCTTAACGCAGGTAATGTTCTTGCTGGAGACAAAGAAATCCAAGGTTTTGGTGCAAAAATTCAAGTGGTGGGTGCTGCCCTGTGTCACAATCCAGGCTCTATTTTGCACTGTAAGTATTGTTTACAGCATTTAGAAAGAAGTTCCTCTTTACAGGGTTGTCAGTTGTCCCATCTGTTTGTTAATCATTGATTTTTAAAAAGGAAGTATGCCATTTGAACTGCCAGACACATTAC